CTGCTCTCAGCGCCAACAGGGGCTCAACACCCCCAATTCCCTACCAAGCACTCACCCTCTCTCCACCAACTTCTCTCACTGGCTGGGGAGAGAAGGACCCCACTCACTCCTACCCTCTGCCCATCTCCCACCCAGGCAGAGAGTAGCGCATTCACCTCCCCCAACCACACCATCCACTCTCACACACCCACCCACTCGAGTCACCCAGCGTCTTCTCTAGGGGGAGGGGGCGCCCCTTGCCACATAGGGGCTCATCTCCCAACCCCCAAGGTCTCAATGTCACTGTGGGCTGCTATGGGCCACCGGGCTCTGGTCTCCACTCCGCTTCACCCTCACAGCCGCCATCCCGCCGTCAGGGCTGGCGCTCCCACCGCTGGCGCTCCCACTGCCGAGGCCAGCAGCGCCGGGCCTGGGCCACCGCCCTGCTGGCACTCCCGGCCCTGCAATATTAAAACAGTGCGATTCCTTACATGAATTTTATATTTTCTTATTTACAGTAAATCTTCAAAAAGGTGCATTATGAGCATTATAAAGTTCTATAGCCTGCCTGATCATGGAACTATTCATTTTAAATATGTTGATCCAAGTTATTACTTTCCTGCATCCCTGTTCTTTCATATAAGTCCTGACGCTACTATTGCCATACTGGAGAATACATGTAGCACAGAGTTGAATTGTTGAGTTATTGGTGTTCTCTGAGCTTGCTTCTCTTTCTGTATCGCCAGGTCACTAGTAAGTAGTTAGAAAAGCCACCCTTTTTTTTAAAGAAAATGTGAAAATATACTGTAAGTTACTTAAATCCACTGCTGATTGTTTACCAGCAGATGTTCTGTCTTATTTGCACATTATCCAATTGTTTGTGATAAAGCAATTAATTTCAGTTTTCTAAGGAATGACACATCTTGGTTTAAGCTATTCCCAATTTTTATTTACTGGTTTACAAAATTATTCCACTTCTATTTTCTTAATAGCTTTTCATTTAGATCTGTTTCTCAGGGTTTTTGTTTGTTTTTGCTTTTTGAAGTAATATGGCAATGGTGGAAAAAATAGAATGTTAATCAAAGAAAAATAAAATGTGACATTATAATTATCTTACAGGAAAAATCAGTACATAGCTATTAGTTGTTTACATTTTAGATTGCAGCACAAATATTTTCTTTTCCAGGGAGTAAATTCTCGTAATCCTAGAAGGCCACCTCCTAGCTCAGTCAATACAGGAGGCATAACTGAGATCATGGCTGAAGGAGGAGAGCTAGAATTTGTCAAGAGAATCATTCATGATAGCTTGCAACTTAAAAAAAGATTACGGTAAGAAGTTAAATTAAATCAAAAGGCACGGGAAATTAGTATAAAATGTATGAATGTGTTTAAAGAAGAAAATTATATACATATACATGCATGAGATGCTATACAAGTAGTCCTTGACTTATGACCACAATTGGGACCAGAACTCTGTCACTAAGTGATGCAGTTGTTAGGTGAGTCATGCCCGATTTTATGACCTTTTTGCTGCAGTCATTAAGCAAATCATGTGGCCGTTAAGCGAATCTGGCTTCCCCCATTGACTGCTTCTCAGAAGCTGGCTGGGAAGGTCACAAATGGCGATCATGTGACCAAGGATGCTGCAACCATCATAAATGCGCAATGGTTGCCAAGCACCTGAATCACAATCACACGACCGGTCGTAAATCACTTTTTCAGCACCGTCATAACTTCAGATGGTCATTAAACAAATGGTTGTAAGTCGAGCACTTACACATGGAAAGACTCGAGCATAGTTTCAACTGGGAAACTCTGATCATCCTAGAACAAGCTAAATCCAAAAACGCTAAGGAATTCCTGAAAGCTTGGCATTCAGACAAAGCAGCCATCAATAGACAAATAGAGATAAACCACATTTACACAACATTCAAAAGAGACAATAAAAAAGCTAAGAAGGAAGCAAAAAGACCAGAACACATCCTTTCCAGCAGCCAACTCCCAGATAAGTAGGGATTAACACCAGATGAACAATCAAGCAGAAAACAATATCTTAATCAAGGAACTACCAAGGAGAAAACCACACCCCCACCAACACTGACAGGGCAAGCTACTGTATATAAATGGGGAGTAAATCCCACACTCACCAGCACTGATGATGTTACTTGGTTGGGTAATGAAATGTTTGCAAGCAAACAACCAAGCTCAGAGACCACCAAGGACTTCACAGTTCAACCCTGAGCCACATATATTCTCTTATATTGGAAGCAGGATTTATATTAAGTGAAGCCATCTAAAATTTGGTATTAGTCGCTAGTTATAGAGAATGGTATAATTCAAGGTTCAAAAAATGAACTCCCCTCTTTAATGATTACATCTTATTCAAGGATAAAAATAGTTAAACATTGGATTGTATCTAACACTGTGGAGGCAGAAAGTCATTAAAATGATGCTGCAGGGAGCCCACATTCCAAAGTTTACAAATAATACAATATATATCAGTAATTCCAGTACAAATTAAAAGCAAAATACATCTACTCTATTCTATATTCTAATTATTGTATAGAATAATTGTTAAAAATACCTGAAGTTACATTAAATTTATTTACTTACTTATTAAATTTGTATGCTGCCCATCTCCCCCAACTGGTGACCAAACAGAATGTTTAGAACTGTCTTATATATTGTATTTAAATTTGTTTTGCTGTCATCAGCTTAATAAACAGATTGTTGCCTTAAAGAGTATAGCTAAAACATTATAATATATGGGTACATTATGTGGACAGTCAGAATATAATAATACCTTGTATGTATACTGATTTACACCATTACAAAATCTTTTTGTTTTACTACAAGTATGATCTAATCTGATCCTTTGATCAGAATAAATTACTACTACTACAGATGTAATGCACACAAAGATCTAACATATTTACATCATTTATAAACTCAAAGCTGTAATGTGAAAATTAGATCAAAGTGAATATAGAATGAAGACGTGTATGTTCACTGTGCTTTCAGGTTTACTTTTTTGACATTTCTCCCAGGATGTAAATGTTCTGTACCTGACTGATCACATTACCAGCATTCATCTTATTCTAAATTGTTTATTCTGTTTTAAATGCATTAGATAATCTATAGCAGTCAACTCTTACAAATAGAAGTAATTTCTTATGACTTAATTAAACTGTTGCTTCCTTATCTTAATCTTATTTATTCTATTTATTTCAATTTATATGGCTGCCCATGTCAACATCATGACTCTGAGTAGCTAGCACCAGTTCAAAAAGGCAATATCAAAACAGCATCACAATATCACATGTTCTTAAGGATAACAGCATCACAATATTACATGTTAAGAATAAGCATTCTGTGTCTGATGCTTTCAGTGGAATATTACATAATTTATATATTTTTTTCCTCTCTACGTTCAATATTGATCACATAGAATTCTTAAATGTAATTTCACAGCCAAAGCCAGAGCTTTTCAAGCTGGAATTATGAGCTACTTGAAGAGAGTGCATTTTTTTTAAAATGCTGCCTCAGTCAAAGTTATCAAGCTTGAACTTTTAGGACAAGCAGCATGGTCTCAAAGCAGTTAGAAAATTTAATAAATACAAAAGTGTAATTAAAATTCAAAGCAAATTGGTTAAACGTGCATTAATAAAAAATAATCAAGATCAGTCACCAAAAGCAGGTTAAACATGGAGAAAGCCTGACTGAATAAAAACGTCTTTGCCTGCCATGGGAAGGACAATAAAAAGGAAGCTAACCTGGTCTCTCCTGACAGGGAGCTGGGAACAGCCTCTGAGGAAACACTGTCTCACATTCAACAGCTGCATTTCTGATGGGATGGCGGCAGGACTGAGAGAAAGACCTCTCCCGAGAAACTTGGGCAGGCTTATTAATCTTGCTTAATCTGACAGAGTCTTTTCAGAACAGAAGGGGGAAAAAAACATTGCAGGAGGTCAACCTTTCAGTTGTTTGCCAAACAGATTTTAGCTGGGAGGTGCAGAAAGTTAAAGGAAACATTCTCAGGTACATCTTTGGGTTTTTTTTAAGTTTCCCTTTTGCTCTAGCCTGCAAGAGCTTCTGACGTGATATAATTAAATAACCCTTTCCGTAGTTTGTCTAATACAGCAGGAGCAATTGGAATTGAATACCAGAACATCAGTTTTAAAGAAAGCAAGAATAAATATTGATTATTCATATCTTAATGTAAAGTTGTTCACTGTTTCAAAAAATCAAAGTGACGAGTCATCCATCTGAAAAATGTTGGTTCCAAGAAAGAGAGCCATGTCACTACATCACAGTTTATGGTTTCTTCTACTGGTTTAGAAATATTTTTCCTTTACTTGAACCTTACTTCTCACTGCTTGGTTCTGAAATTATATTTTCATTATTAAAGGTGGTATAGTTGTATGTTGGGAAAGAAATGCAGCTTGGCACCATTGAAAGAAGAACTACGAATCCATGGAGTAAGTACTTCTCTAGACACTAATGCTATCTGTTACTTTAAATTTATAGGTAAGCTTCCATTTGCATAAAATTACATCTTGAAAATAAATAGTCCTTAAGTTTGTATGAAATACTAGCCTTAGTCAAAACAACAGGACTTCTAATAAGAAATTTAGCCCTGATAACTTTATAAAGAAGCATTAAACCATTTTTTTCTCAGTGTAGATACATTAGAAGCCAATATGGACATTATTTTGAGATGTGCATTTCAGGATTTGCTTTTGTAGTAGACTGTAGCTTACCTGTTTTCCATATAGACTGCACAAAGACATCTGGAGAAGAAGCAATGCTTTTTCCCCTGTTTATGTGAAATTGCTGGTTTCTTCCTATCTGACCAGTCACTCATCCTGTGCCCTTTTTCATTTGAAGAAGTTCTAAAGCTGATATTAAGGATTAGGGTGGTATTTTTAATGGTTCCCTACATAAAAAACCCACAATACCTGCCTACAAAAAGGAACTGAACATGTAAGGTCTTCCCCATTTCCCCTAGTTTGCTACTTACAGGGAATTATTATGTGGGAGAATACGTAAATTGATCTTCATTCTGCAGTGTAGAATAGTAAGTAGTATAGTTTGCTTTTCTTAATGAATTCAAAGGACATCAACCCACTAGCATGCCAGAAAAGTTCCTTTCAAGACCTACGTTAACATAGCTTCAACAAAGTGGCTGAATCACATGTAACATGAAGTTGTCAGTTCATGCTCCCTTCAGATCATACTACTACACAGATCAGCTGGGTCTGCATATTCAGATACAGCCTCATTTGGATCCATGCAAATTGGGCAAAAATGTGCATTATCGAAACTGTGGAAGAAAAATCATATGTGTTTGTGTGAATCTTATGGTATTGATGGGTGTAGCAAGGATTTGTGCCTTCCTCAACATTACCACTATCACAGATTATCTCCCCTGCTTATATTCTTGCTCATACACACATGCCTATGTATACTATCTCATATCTGTACTCACCAACTTATATATATCTTCTCAGATCTACTCCCCCCCACACACACACATACAGTAAAATGTACAAATTGTAGAGAAAACAGCATGCAGGAGTAAGACTTCACATACCATCTCTTCCACAATAGCTGTGCTTCCCCTTTAGCCTACCAAACTGCTGATCAGCAGGCTTGTGGAAGTGCAGTTTGTGTGCTGGACACAGACTGTGTGCATTTCAAGATCTTTGGCTATAACTTACCCACGTTTGCTCTTCATAGTTTTATTGAGAGAGAGAGAGAGAGAGATTGATATTGATATTGTAAAGAGCTGAAATATGAAAAAGGTTACAGTGTCACTGTGGGATATTTGTGACGTCATGTCACATATAGCTTTTGGAAAACTGGAAAATATAGCTTTTGGTATATAGCTTTTGGAAAACGGGAAAAACTTAAGATTGGTTTTTATTTTTCCGTGCAGGTCCCTAAGGTCACCCACACTGAATTCTGCCAAGGTCGTACTATGCGGTGGGCCCTAGCTTGGAGCTTCTATGAAAATGTCAAAGTTCCAGTAAGTGGCTTTCTTTCCCTCCTCTTACCTACTTTGAGCCCTCACGGTGAATCACTTACTCCTGTGACTGGTCACACACTTTTGAGTTTTTCGAGAGCAGATGCAGACAGAATGGAGTACCTGTTGATGAAACATGTTCAGATTCCTTTTTACTTCTATGGCTTACTGGGATGATTCTTCAGATCCTGGCCATGGCTTGTTCTTTACACAAGAGAGCATTTGCTAACATAATGTACTTGATAGAAAGCTGTAGAAGCGTGGCTTAAGACATTTAAAGGATGAGTGTGGAGAGAAAGAGAAGAGTGCAAAGGTTTGTTATTCCATTGCCTTCACATCAAGTAAGTGGAAGACTTCAGCCATGTATGGTTTAAATTACACTATTTGTCTTATTTGTATGTTCAGACTCAAGACAGAGGAATAGTAAGTTGCCCTCTTTGCTGCTTTTACTAGGAGATAGCCTTTGCTCTGGTTGGTTCTGCCAGTCAGTATGACTTCTCAGGCACTGTTGGTGTTAGTCAAAAATTATCCATGTTTCAGCAAACATGAGGCTTGGAGCTTGTGTTTGCTTAATGTATAGCTCTCCTGTAAAGATGACGAAGCTACAAGGCAGATCAGAATAACATTCATAAACCATTTGTGCATTTTTTTCAGAAAAGTAAAAGGGAAAACATGATACTAGAAATAATTCAAACCAATTGTTATTTAGTAATAATAATTGGAGGGGAGGTAATTCTAGTGTTGTTCCCTCAGATATATTGGGATTACAGTTCCCACATTACTTAGAATATGTACTATAGCTTTAGGCTGGTTAAAAAAGTGTAGGAGATACACTCCCACATGTGCGGGGAACATCACATTGGAAATATTCACAGAAGGAAACTTCCTCATTGTGGGTTCCTTCTCTAACAGCATGTACCTCCCCAGATATATAACTGGAAAATCACAGAAGCTTTCTAAATAATGGGGCACAGAGTTCAAGGGGCCCCTTCATATCAGGGTTTCCTTTTGTGAACTTCTTTAGTCTAAAACCAGGTTTGTATCTTTAGACATTCCATTTTCTCTCCTAGTCCCACCAATAATCCCTTCAGTTCCATCTACACCAGTGTTTCTCAACCTTGGCAACTGTAAGATGTGTGGACTTCAACTCCCAGAATTCCCCAGCCAGTGTGCTGGCTGGGGAATTCTAGGAATGAAAATCCACACATCTTACAGTTGCTAATTTGAGAAACACTGATCTACATCATGTTCATGTATGGCTCTCCATTGGCATTTTGTGGGGAGGAGGATGGCTACATAGTGAAAAATGGGATAGGAGATCTTTCCATGAACTCACTAAGTATACTATATGTACCTTAGGATCAAAAGCATTTAAATCGGTTATTTACATATTTTCTCTTCATGTTCTTCACTATATTATTTTCATTTCTAATTGTTTTGTTCAACTTGGATATGTGTACTTCCCCCCCTCAGTCACCTCCTTCTAAGAAAAGGAAACTAGAAAAACCTCGGAAACCAATTACATTTCTCGTCTTGGCATCTACAGCCAAAGAGTTAGCTATGAAAGCATCATCTGTAGGAATCAATGCTGTGGAAGGACTGGGAGTTGTTGCAGCATGGATTAGAAAACTCCTCACCGACCTGAAGGTATGGTGACTTCTTAAAATTAGATTCTGCTTCAGGCAACTGCAAGTAGCCAAAAAAGAGTCATACTATTGTTTGATGTGTATTCCCTTTAATAGGTTCAGCATAAAACTCTTCCCTGTGGAAAAGATGAGGTCAGCTTGTTTCTGACAGCTGTGGAAAATTCCTGGATTCACTTAAGGAGAAAAAAGAGAGACAGAGTCAGGCAACTGCGTGAACTTCCTCGAGCATCTGAAGATTTCCTGCAGCCAACAGAAGAAAAGAATCAGAAAACATCCAGCAGCATCTCTGAGTGTGAAGGAAACACAGATGGAACTACTGAAAAATCATCTGTGGAACTTTGTCATGACGTTGAGTCACCAGAGGGTGATGGACTCAATAACGTACCTGCAGTTCAAGAGGAAAATGTCCAGGGATGCACTGAGGAAAGCAGCAGCACAGAGGAACTACCGTTTATTTCAGAATTCAAAGATTCCAGTAATCAAAAGGAAAGGACCAAGGCCTTTGCTACTGATATCCTGGCTCTTGAAACTGGACAGAATGATAGTACTTCAGGGGAATGGTTCCTTTTCAAGTGTGTGTTAATTGTGAAGAAAGAAGGCCCTGATATTTTAGTAGAAATGCATTGGATTGATGGACAGAACAGAGACTTAATGAATCAACTGTGTACCTACCTAAAGAACCAGATGTTTCGCTTGATTACAACTTAAGGACATGTGGATGTATGGAGGAATTATCCTTATTTTTGTAATCTTTTATATTTAATAGCATTCATAATGGTATCTCTTTTAAAGGTAATAGTTTCTAAAAACTTCTGAAACATGAAGTTTGAGGGATTTATGATTACTTAAAACAAAAAATTAATTCTGCTCACTTTCCATTGAAATCATTCAGATTAGTTATAACTGTCTTTTCCTACTGATTTCAGTGAGTCATAAATGTAACTAGCTTAGACTGGATCAGTCTCCCTATAATCATCACCTTTGTGTAATAGATTTTTAGCATTTTTGTTTCAGCCACATATGAAAGAGCAGCACTGTATTATAATTAAAAAGAAACTGTTGTGAAATTGTTGTCAGCTTTTCCAACTGCTCAGAAATTGCTTTATATCCATATCTTGCCCTCCTTGACAGAAGTGCTCCCACATATTGGATTGCTAATAAAGCAATAATAATCTCCTCAGCTATGAAAGAACAGAGGTTGGGCAAAAATGCCTCTTAGATTCTTTTGCTATAGAATTGAGAAAACTGTACCTTTTGTTCTCTGGTGTATCTTGATAAGTTTTAAACATAAAGTTGTAGTGCTCAGTTACTGAAAGCAGAATCCAAGGTTTGGAGTGCCTCATTGTTATAATAATTTATTGCAAGGGTGCAAAATAGGTGGTCAGTGGGTCAGGCAGAGCACACTAATATTGCCTTTGTAATCCTCTAGACTTGGCAAGGCTAATAATTTACCCCATTTGGGGGGGGGGGAATTTGAGCAAATGTAAGGGATAAAATGGGAATCTTACAAAGACTTACGATACCCATTTCACCCTTGAGACCCCCCTCCCCCCCAACCAGGCCCGTTTTGGTTCCTGGCCTTGTTTATTTTGGAGCAAAGTCCTCAACTTATGAACAGAGCCTGATGTAATCCTCAGTCCAAATGAAATTGTGTATTAAGTTTTAGTTACCCATTTGTATGGTATGAAACAAGTCAGTTGTAATATTAGGAGTAAGGTTTAGTGAACTCACTGGCCTTACTGAGGGATCATATCTCACTTAATATGCTAAGACATGAAAGAGCATTTTACAAACAAGTTTTCAAATTAATAACAGTATGAATCACTGTATTTTCATATCTATGGAAGAACCATGAGAAAAGTATCCACAAAATATGCTATTGCAATTAAAATCCAGAAGATGAAACATTTTGCTGAAGGTGTAGTGCAAATGGTACTTATTTAAAGTATGATTGGTGGATATATATAAATTTAGAACTGTGCTGATGTGGTAAAAATCCAAGTGAAATTAGCTGTAAATTATATGTGAACCTTTTGACCTTGTTAGGTAAAGTTAAATATTAAAAAAGAAAAAAATATATAAACAGTTTGCTTACTGACTGCATACTAATTGAAAATCCTTAGAAACGACTGAGGAATTGCAAAGGCTTGTCATATACAGTTAATATCTTATAAACAATTATTGAATGAATTGAAAATTAAATCATTTTAGAGAATTGACAAACATGGCAAATATTGGGTGTTAAATGAATCTATCCATGTTAAAAAGTTAAGTCAAGAAGTATTTTATATGCTGAATATCATGAAGATATTTGTGTAATAAGCTAACTTATTAAGTTATATCTTTAATAAGTTACCTTATAGCCATATATAACAATTTAATCTAACTGACCCTCTCTTTTTGTATGTAATGACTTTTTTTTACTTCATATAATACATTTTTAATAGTAACTGCTTCTTCCTCCCAATGAAGAAGTCATGTGTTTATGCTTTCTACCGCCATCTGGTGCACATTTTGTGCAATTGTGACTGTTTACTGTAGTTTCCTTGTTCAGTGCTTGCCATCTGGTTATCAAAGTATGCAACTTCACTAAGTTTGTCCCATTCTGCTGCCATCTGACTGCTAGCCTTGTCTTCTGCCAACTACAGTCTTCAAAGAACTGTACCACAAGCACAAATCATTGATACCCACTTTTTGAGAAAGATATCCACAAATATAACCTCTCCTTCAGTGCAGCTGCTTATCAGGGAATTAGGGTCTTTTGCAGCCAATATCATAGACTGCTTGGCCTTATGCCTCATCAAATGGAGAGGAATTAATTAACGTAATTCAAATGCTCCTTTGTCAGTTTGCAAGAGGTACTTGGATCGTCATTGCAAAGTACCAGCCAGTACCAAGAAGTCAACTCCAGCAGTGAAATGGTGCCAATGTACTCCAAATTATTTTTCCTGATTCTTTTTGGCTGGTTTGATCTAGGAAGAGGGTGGGGGGAATCGACAAACACCAAATGCTTGCATATTCTTCAGTGAGCCTGTCAGGCCATACATTGCAGGGGCCATGAATAAACCTTCGGTCTTGTGCAAACCATTCTAGGATGTCCTTCATGAATTATTTTCAGCAGCTCTTGGGCTCTTTTAAAATCACCATCCTGAATGCCATTCCATTTCCTACAGACAGGTGAGCTGTCCTCTCACAAATCTTTAACTGACTTGGGAACATGTCTTACGTATTTTCTCATAGAATAGTTACCACATGATGATGACGACTTGATGTTTCCTAGGGCTGTGCAAATCTTTCAAATGAGGTGCTTTGCAAGGCGCAGGGAGCATGTACAGAACACCTCCCTTCAAACCATTAAAGCAACCCTTCTTTTTCCAGGCTTGCACAGTTATTTGTAAGCTGCCATCAGCTGCCTCTATATACCTGAGCATGTGCAGGGAAAGCAGCTGTGCATGCACAGGTGTGTGGGGACAGCCAAGAGCAAAGCAGCCATCCAAGCCTGGCAAACAACATGGCCTCTTTCCCAGTTCTAATACCCCTCTGCGGGACTTGGGCAGCCCTACCACAGGTGCTAGTGTAGAGGGTAGGTAACCACAAATGTGTGCGCTTGTTCCTTTCAGTCCTTTTGACATTGTGTTTCTTTGCACAATTCTAAAATAGAACATTTTTCTGGATTTGTATTATTTCTAAATCATGTGTTGCCAATTACAGAACCTTACATTCAAGTCTAGAGTTCTGAGGTAACAGGATTTGATAAATATGCTCCTAAGCGTTGTGTGGCTTAGTTTCCACTCTCATGGAATGGCATATAGAGAGCAATGCCTGATATTCTGACATCACTCTTTAGCCCCAAAACATCTGGTTCCCCCATGGCCCTAAACTTGGGGTTTTTTTACTATGTTTATTGAGTAGTTTGTAATTCCATGAGTTCACAATCCACAAATCATAGTTTACAAACCACAGTGCCATAAAAACCACCTTGTGAACCCAGCCTCTGCCGGTAGACCAACACCACACCTACATGCATACTTCAAAAGGAAAAAGGGATGGAAAGTGAAGAACTCTTCAAAAGGAAAAAAAAAATCTCACTGAAAACTTAAATAGAGCTTTACCATGCCTGAACATTCATTCTATTCTCTTCCACCTTTATTTATTTATTTATATTTCAAATTTGTCACCACTCATCTCACTGCAGAGTGATTCTGGGCAGTGACAAATTTGCCTGCCACCTGACCCATAAAAAAGGCCAGTCTGAGCCTCCCCTTCCTAGAGTTCCCCAAACTGGAGATTGGGCACTGAACGTCTTAGGGTTGCCCTTTGCTCTCAGGCCCTCTTCTCCCATCTCCTCCTGTTCTGGCAAGAGTCTGATCCTTGCCAGCCCCTTCGTTCCCTGGGTTCCTGCTGTATGAGAAATGAATTATTAATGGTGCATTAAACGGAGGTTGGCCCGGGGCCAAGGGATGGTGCTAATCAGAAGCTAATTGAGGGAGAAATTAGATACTGTTCCCAGCTGCCTGAGAGACGTGGGGTAGACGGCAGCCTGCTAGCAAAGGTGACCCCCACGACAATGCCAGTGCTCTAGGGAGGGTGCAAAATCACCAGCAGGACCATGGAGCACAGCTGGTTTGAATGCTGCTCTACACCCCTCCTCCCCAGCCACATTCTTTCCCATCTCCTAACCCCCTTCCCCCCGCTGCTTACTTCCAAGGCCAGCTTGAAACGAGGGTGTGACCTGGGCCCTGTTATTCGGTGCCGTAGATCAGCAAGCGCACAAACTGTCATTGCAGTAGTTCCTTTTGTCAGTCAGGACAGGAAAGTCTGCCACCACAGCTGGAGGTATCAGAGACAAATTGCATGGCCAACGGTGGGGTGCAAGTGGGGCTTCCTCTAGGGTTCAACCCGCCACAGCTCTCATTTAGTGAAGGAGATGTAATGGAAGCTTTTAAGATATGGGAATCCAGGGGAATCCAAGCCCACCTGGCTTTTCCTTCCTTAATGAAAACTTCAGACAAGTCCTGAGAGGAGCAGAGTGAAATTTATTAGGTAAAAAGAGCAGATTGATTTATTGACCCAGCTCTGCCTGCCTTATCTTCCTTCGTGCATCCAGTGTCTTTGTGATGAAATCTACAGTTGCCTTGAATACCTCCCCATTTTCAGAGGGGGGTAGGCATGACCTGTTGTTATTGCCCTGCTTTGTTCACCCAACTGATTGAAAATAGGTCAGATTCCTTCCCCGCTCTCCCTCTACATGGGATATGGTCTTAATTCATGCTGTCCAAGGCAAATTCTCCTTTCAGGTCATTCATGTCATTGACCTGCCCAATACTCCTGAAGAGCAGAGGGAGATGCATCCATGCACTGCAGCAGCAATTTCAAAGTCATGATCTAAAATAAAATTAGGTTTATTCTTCAGGGGGACGGTTATTTCTAGAGCAGGCACAGAATCAGCCTGCCTGATATTTCCTTAGCCCCAAAGGCAGAGGTAACCTTCAGGAAATCAAGAGCTGCCAGCGTAAGGACATGCAAGGGAAAGGAAAACAGAAAACAAGCAGGAGATTTTGGGTAGATAGAAATAGGTTCCATCCTAGTGCTGCTGGTTGGGAGAATTTTGCTGTGAGCCATTCCTCTTTGCCTTTGCATGTATGTTCATCCATCTTTCCATCTGCCCTTGGGACTTTTCTGATGAAAAAGCTCTTTCCTCTATTATATATATGCGAATACAGTATTACAGTCATTGAAGGGAGCCTCCTTTGCCAAAGTGCTGCATCCCCTGGAAAAAAAATCTGCTCAGTGGGAATTCCTGAAATACCTGATTTGGGAGTAATGGTAACAGCTCTCTGGAGAAGTCTCTGATCCTGGGAAAGCTGGAAGGAAAGAGAAGAAGAGGAGGACCAGCAGCAAGGTGGATGGACGCAGTTACAATGGTGATGAGCGCTCTGTTGGGAGACCTGAAAGATCAGGTTAGGGACAGATCGTCATGGACAAAATCTATCTATGTGGTCTCTAAGAGTTGACACTGATTTGATGGCACATAATCAAGTCAATCATGTTTTTGACAATACAGAGGCGTAATAATTGCGCTGTTGTTTTTGCATTGTATAAAATTCTCAGCCACCATGCTAGGTGCACTGCCCTATGAAACTCAAAGCATGTTCTAGCATGGATGAGAAAGCCATTAAGTAAACTAGCTTTCCTTACATGGAGCCTCTATTGCTGTCTCCAACTAAAATGCCCAAAACATCTTTTCATAGGATCTACCTAGAATTAATAGACTTTGAAAAACAGCAGCAAGCTGAGGAGGGAGTTTGAATTCAACAGGAGGTTGTGCTTCTGAACAGATGCAGAGGGCTAAAAGTGAATCAGTTCTTTAGCAGCAGGTCTCCTTCAAAGAAAAATGCTCATAATATAGTTATCTTGGGTACAGTCTCTAGGCTTAACCCAGCTATGAATGAATGCTAACAGAGATTCATTATATTTGAGGTAAAAGGTAAGTTTATTGAGAAATACTCTGGATAGGAAAGCTTTGCTGCTATCTAAACTACATCTTAAAGGGGGGGGGAGGGAGGGAGAGAGAGGGAGAGAGAGAGAGAGAGGAAGTTCTGTACTCTCTTAGACACAGAGACTTATTTAACTACAGTAACAATAGGCCAGGTGAGAGATAGATTACAGAGGCAGGGTGTAAAGTTTCTTCCCCTCCTCTGCTTCTGGTCATTTGTCCTAGTGGTCAAAAGGCTCGCTGGTGCAAAGAGATAATGCAGCCCCCAACAGAGAAAGAATACCATTCATCCCCAAATGGATTTGTAGCTTCACAGCATGTTCAGTCAGACTGGAAAGGCTGGGGATGGAGGTCAGCTATAATACAGTCCTCAGGCATTATTGATTTTATCACAGAGAGACTAAGCTTGCCTGCTCACTGCACCCTTCAGATAACAACTCTGCTGAGCAGGAAAAAATGTCTGAGAGGTGTGGGGTGGGAATTTGTGGAAGAAATCCCAATAATGGTACCCTTTTTTTCTGCAGAAAAATAAGGTAAGGAGGGAAGCTGTATGGATGTCTGGTATTACAAGACGGAGAGGCAGAACAATGGCACTGAGCATAAGGATTTGAAAAAACAGAAATAGTGCAGAACCCTGGAGTCTGTCCTTACTGGTCACATTCTGTGACGTGCCCATTCATTTTCTAACTCTTTTCATGTTTCTCACCGTTTCACAAGCATCAGCTCATGAGGACTACAAAATTTTCTTTTTCTGTTTCTATAAACATTTGAGTTGTCTATATGCAGTAGTCTAAGGTTATCAAACCTCTGTTATTGACATTATCAATCCATAGTTCCTAGACTTTCTAGTGAAAATACAGAACAGTTTAACCAGTGTTTCTCAGCCTCAGCAAGTTTAAGATCCATGGACCTCAACTCCCAGAATTTCCCAGCCAGCATGCTGGGGTTGAGAAACACTGGTTTAAGCCTCGGCTTCTGGGTAACTTGAACTCTTGCTAATGGGATTCTGCAGACTTGCAGAAGACCTGCAAACATTGGGAAAATCTCTCCCCCCACCTCCACACCAGCACATTCTTTTTCTGGCTTATTCTTCAGTATGTGCGTGGGCTGTCGCATAATAAATGCATAAAAATGTATTCAGGTGATGTCCTCCCAAATGTAAGGTTTTATCTGGAATTTTAATTTCTGCAACAAGTGTAGATTTATAATTAATGACTTCTAGACCCATTTTTGCAAAGCCTAACTGGGAACTACAACAGCCTTCCAGAATCTAGATTTCCTTACTGACTTGCTTTGACCTGAGGTTCAGCTAAGCAAACTTTTTAACTAGAAGCCACAGGCTACGTACAAGATGCTGTCTTACTGCTGTCTTCAAGTTCAGTCCACCACAGAAAGAGGGTCTGGCTGGACTAAATAATTTAATAGAAATTCTTTCATGGGTGAAGGGCTAACAATAGAAACGAGAAAAAACTTCCTGAAACTGATGCCATCTAAATGTCTTAGACCACAACTCCCATAATTAGCCATATTGTTTGGGGATAATAGGAAGTATAATCCAAATGTAGCTATA